TTCAAGAGGATTTGGGACAGCCGATCTTTTATTATCTTTAACATTTGCTTGAAGGCACGATTCCTTATAGAGCAGGCTGTGACCTATGGACATCAACTCCTAGAATTCCCCAGCCAGCATGGAATTCTGGAAGCTGAATTCCACAAATCTATTTGCCAAGGTTATAGAGGAAATGTAGGCCCTACAATTCCAGAGATGTAGCCATTGTGATGCCTTTCTTTTTCCTATCTTATTATCTTTTGCATGTGGTTCATGAAAAATTATGTGAAATTTACTATGCAGCACAAGATTTTGGACTGTTGTGCTTGTTTAATATTGATTTCTTCCTATTATTATATGCCATATACTCCTACCACAGCAAACCAAGCATATAGTGGTATTATCCCAATGTCACAAGCAGTGACTGTGATGAGGGATAGCAGGTTCGAAACACGTCTTCTTTGTTGTTACAATAAATCAAAAGTATTCGGAAACCCATATGGGATCACTCAGAACTGAAGGAATTAGGGTACCCATATTTGCAGAATGTCTCTTCTAGCTAAATTTCCCCCTCTGGAACATCTTAAAGAGAGTTGAGAGCATTAGTTGCAAAGGCAAATTAATCTATTTCAAAAGACCTCTATACCCTAGAAGAGAAGTTGTCAATGTTTCTGTTTACAGCTGACAAAGTAAAAGAGTTTTGTGTGATTTTTATTGGGCAAGAGAATTTCTTCACTTGTAAAATTACCCATGAAATTGCATAGATGCTATACATTCAGAGACGACTGGAATGGTTATCTTGTTTTCAGTCAAGCTTCTTCATGTGACCCAAGGATTAACCTCAAGATTAGCCCATCGTCCATGCCAAGAAGAACATGATAGCATGGTTGAGTATATGAACGATCACACTTGAACTTCTATAAAAGCAAAGAGTGATCTAATATCATCCAAAACAGGAAGCTAATATCATCCAAAACAGGAAGAGCTAGACAGACCATTGCTAGCAGTTTTTCTGAATTTATAGCCATGATCAAATAAACTGGCCAGAGCAGAACTCTGTCTTTGATCAAACACAGACAGATCACAGTGGGTCAAGTATTTGTTAGTGGTCCTGGAATTGGATGGAGCTGAAGATCTGATACAGGTGTAACAAACGTGATTTCATTAAGGGCCGCATCAGGGTTGTGTTTGACCTTGAGAAGTGGGGGGGCATGGCCAGCTCACTGTCACTTGAAGCTTTTTTTGGCCACGATGGCCTCCTACAGCCCTCTGCCAGCAAAAATGGAGCCGGGGGGGCTGTGCGTAGCTGCCAGGCTCTGGTTTTGGCTGTGAAGGCCTCCTGCAGCCATCGGCCAGCGAAAACGGAGCCCGGGGAGGCCATATGCGTCCCCAGCTCCGTTTTCACTGGCAGGGGTTGCAGGAAGCCATCACAGCCAAAAATGGAGCCGCACACAGGGTGGGCCGCACACAGCCTCCCTAAGCTCCATTTTCACTGGCAGAGGTACAACAGGCTGGTCCTTCACTGTTTCCAGGGCAGCCACTTGGGCCAGATCTAAGCATCCCACAGGCTGAATCCGGCCTGTGGGCCTTGAGTTTGACACCCCTGATCTGATAAATGAATACCTCTATCAAAAGTAGATGAAGGGTTAAATAGCCATTTCTAAATTACAAGGCAGTTTGGAGATGCTGTACAATTATTCGTTTCTATTTAAGGATCCAATTTTTGAAAAACAATTCTTCATTCGTCATATTATTGTATAATGTAAGTAAAATTTCCCTAGAGTGAAAGTTGGCTCCTTGTTATCGTATGGACATGTCCATGTTGTTTGCTTGGCAGTAGCATGGAAGAGACTTTTCAACAATCTATAGTGTATGGCTGGCATTTTCAGTGCCACCTGCAATTTAAAACGAAAAATGAACTTATTTCCTAGGAAGCCACAGACCAGATTTATTAAAGAGATTCTTCTCACTTAAACTGCGACTCACAAAATGCCATTGTTAGAAAGGGCCCTGCGTGAGCTCCAATCACAAACAGACCCATATCATGTGTTAGCACATTGTGTGAACCTATCATTCATGGCTGAAACTCAGCCAATGTGTTTAATTGAATATAACATAGTAAACAAATTATAGGTTAGGTGAGAGGTAGAAACTCAGCCAGTTAGTAACATGAAAGAAGATAGTTCTAATTTAGGACACATCAAATGCACAAATTCCCAGGTTCATTCTTCTTATACAGGTAGACCTCGATTTATGACAATTGAGCTTAAAATTTCCATTACCAAGCAATGCAGTTAAGTGAGTTTTGCCCCATTTTACAACTTTTTTTGCCACAATTGTGAATTGAATCTGGCTTCTCCCATTGTCTTTTGCTTGTTGAAAGCCAGCTGGGAAGGTTACAAATGGTGATAGCATGATTTCGGGAGTGTGCGGCTGTTTTACATGCCTGTTGCCTGAATTTTGACCAATCATATGACCAATGCCACGATCATGTGAAAACTGGTTTTAAGTCACTTTTCTCAGTGCCATTTTAACTAAATGAATGGTTGTAAATTGAGGATTACCTGAATTGGGGCTTGGTGTTAAAACCAGCACTTCTCAACTTGGCAAATTTAAGATGTCTGGACTTCAACTCCCAGAATTCCTCCAGCCAATATTCTGGGAGTTGAAAAACCACCATTGGGAAACACTAGTTTAACCACAATGACAATTGCTAAATATAAGAACTGTGTGCAATTGCCAAGGTTGAGAAACATATTAAACAAGAATTCTACCAATTCTTTTACAAGTACAGCTACAAAATTTTAGGACAACTGCAGGTAAACCAAGGAGCAGGGCAAGAAAATTGGGGCCATCCAGATAATATGGACTTCAGCTCCCCTAACTCCCAACCAAGAATTTCTGAGAATTCTGGAAGATCACCTACATGGAAGCTTCTAGGTTGGAAAAAGCTATTTGGTGTGACAATACCCAGCATTTTTGTAACCTTGCTCAAACCTTTCTTAGGTTTCTCAGCCCTGATTGAACCTATAATGGCAGTGTAGTTTAATGCAGGTCTTCCAACCATGGCAACTTTAAGCCTAGCAGGCATCAACTCCAAGTCCAACAGGCTTAAAGTTGCCATGGTTGGAGACGTCTGATTTAATGTGTTTAATGTCCTACAGAACTGTCCCATCCTTCCATGGAAGGTGGGGTTATCAAGTCTCTTCCACCATAGAGATGGGATGAGATTTATAGCTGTCCATCCTTGTTAGGATAAGGTCAAAAATCCAGTATAGTGTAATGTGGATTTGGAGCGTTGGATGAGAAATGGAGAAATCCAGGTTCAAATCCTTCCTTTGCACTAAATATTGATCTTGAAAGACTTTGAGCCAACCATTTTCAACCCAACTTACCTCTTAAGTCTATTGTAGAGATAAAAATAAAAGATTCCTGTACAATGAAAACGTTGGGCCCGAAAGCCAGATGGGTGATTCTGGTAGTTTTCAGTCCAATTTATCTCAGAGTTGTGGGAAAATAGGAGGAAGGAGTATTAACTATGTTCAACGCCTTGAGTAGGTTTATTTAAAAAAAAAAAACAATAAAGGTAGGATATAAATAAATTTAATGCATAGAAAGAAAATAGAAAGAAGCTCATCTCTTTATCATCTGATATTGGATTATGTGCAAGAACACCCCATTCCACCCAAGAAAATTTAGCCAAAATTATCTCCTCCCATGCAATACATTTCTAAAGCTAATTCTTTTACACTAAATTGGGCAAGAGGTGGGGTGAGGGAATGGAATTTCTCTGCCTCGTTCTTAGGCTGCCCTCTGCCGTTAATCCATTGGAAATAATGTGGTTCTAGATTTCTTAGCCCAGCTTTGCTTAAGGAATGATGTCTCCTTTGCAACAGAAGAGAGCCAAGACATCTAGCATACCTAGACATCCTTCCAGTCAAATGTCACCAATGTGTTTGCTGGCATTTTGTGACCAAGATGAAGCACCCGAGGATGTTCTCAGCAAAACCTTTGCTTAGTATCAACTTTCCTCCCAACCTTCAATGCTTTCTCCACCTTGTTTCAAAATTGTCTTTTAAAATGGAAAGGTAGAAATAGGTCTCAGCCCAAGGGCCTTCCCATGTAAAATAAAACCAATATGATTGGAGAACCCAAAATATGTAAGATTAGATTTAAAGTTATACTTTGCCAGTGGGTCACTCTTCTTGTTGTGCCATATCTATTGTTGGATGTTGGCGATCATGTTGGCAATCTCATTTATATCCGTGGGTCGTTACATGAATATAAATATAGAGAAGAAACCTGTATCCAAATGTGATTAATACTGCACTCTAGAATTCCTTAACACCGATTAATATGAACATGGGTTGCACTAATTGTATTTAGCATATCTTCACTTTGGATTTTCAAAGTCCAAACATACCTGAATATTCCATAATTGAATTAAAACTTATTTATGATCTGTTACAATCCCTAATTCCATTTTTATTAGATCTGCCCCATCAGTGATTTCTTATCTATTTAATAATATGCTATAATTAACTTTCTGCTAATCTAGAGAAAGCACTTATTAAAGTAGGACTATATAAAGTACAGATAAGAAACCATGCTCCAGGAGTGGTTTTCTTTTCTGTAGCAGAGATCCTGATCTTTTAACAGTTGCAAAAGTAGATGAATATTTCTTCACATCTATTTATCTGTTGTAAATATATAGATATGTTTCATAAGCTTACATGAAATGGAAACGTTATCTTGAAGATCTTGTTTTAAAGCTGTTGTTGATCCAACACATTTTTTTCTTGAAGACTGGTGATGATCAGAAGAATAAAGCCAACAGATGAGACAGAACCAGTGGTGGTATTCAGCAGGTTCTGACTAGTTCTGGAGACCCGGTAGCAGAAATTTTTAGTTCGGAGAACCAGCAAATACCACCTCTGACTGGAGATTTTACAGTATCTTTTCCCTGCCATGCCCAAGCCACACCCACGGAACCGGTAGTAAAAAAAATTTGAATCCCACCAAAGAACTATAATTTATATCGGACTATGGAGATTCTGTCATTCAGGTCATGGTTGTCCCAGAGATGCTTTTTCAAGAGGCAATTGCATTTTCTTTGTTTTTCCTTGAAGACATTTCACTTCTCATCCCAGAAGCTTCCTGGATCACCAGGAAGGAGTTATGGGAAGCTTTCCAGAGCTATTCTGAAAGAAATTAGTTGTTTTGCTTATGCACTCATTTTCTGGAGGGCTCAAAAGTGCTAACTACATTCTTAATTCTCCCTCTAAAATGTACATTTTTCATGTGCATGCTCATTCACTGATGGGCAATGGGTTCAACTTGCTGGCTTCTGTTTAGGGGGGAAGTGTGAATGGGAGCTTATCGTCAGTTATCGTAAGTCTTCATTTCCATTTACACCGATGTGCCATTTTTTCTCATGTAAACCAGAAGGTAGGCAGTTTCACCCCTGCAAAATAATGGAAGAAAAAAAATGAATGATGGAAAACAAATCAGATGATAACACGAGAATCAGGTAGCAATTACTTTTCCAAACAACTTCCAGGGGAATACATAGAATCATATGAAGTTCTTTTGCCCAGAATTTAGTCAATTTAAATTGTTTCAAATTGGGACAAGCAACTTGGGTATCCTCCAAATGTCTCATAATCAGCAGGAAAAGAGAATACAGATAGTCATCAACTTATAACCATCTGTGAAAATATTTACAGATCCCTCACATCCCGGACATAAACTGTTTCAACTCCTACCTTCAAAATGATGCTATAGAGCACTGCCCAGCAGAACAACTAGACACAAAGACCGTTTCTTCCCGAATGCCATCACTCTGCTAAACAAATAGTTCCCTCAACACTCTCCAACTATTTACAAAGTCTGCACTACTATTACTATTAATCTTCTCATCACTCCTTATCGCCCATCTCCTCCCACTTGTGACTCTAGGACTGTAACTTTGTCGCTTGTATCCTTATGATTTATACTGACTGTTTCCTACTATGATTTGATTGCTTATTGTACCCTATGATTATTGTTGTACCTGATGATTCTTGACGAATGTATCTTTTCTTTTATGTACACTGAAAGCATTTGCACCAAGACAAATTCTTTGTGTGTCCAATCACATTTGGCCAATAAAGAATTCTTTCTTTCTTTCCTTCCTTCCTTCCTTCCTTCCTTCCTTCCTTCCTTCCTTCCTTC